TCTGAACCATGCAGAAGCACGCTGCTTGAGAGATCGAGGTCCTGAAAACAACTTCAAAGGAGTACGTAAGGGAATCATAGGGTTTAGGGTTTATGGTGTAGGGTTCAGGGTTTAGGGTTCAGGGGGTTTAGGGTTAAGGTATAGGGTTTAGGGTCTAGGGTTTAGGGTTCAGGGTTTAGGGTTCAGGCTTCTGATTCGGGAATTAAAGGCATGACATGATGAGTTTGGCCGTCTCGCACAGTTACTTCAAGATTCACCCATCACCTGCACTCCTGGGCGTTTTTAGCCGGCAGGATCCGCTCAAAGTGACGCGTGCCCTGGCTTCCACGGCTTCTTAAGGGGACAAAGGGAAAGATGACGAGTTCAACCCCTAAACCCTAAACCCAAAGCCCTAAGCCCTAAACCCTAAACCCTAAACCGGGACGTCAGGGTTCGTGATTGAGGTTGCAGAGGCTTTGCTTTGGCTGGCAAGGTGGTGCAGGGGATGAAAAGATCAGGGTTCAGGAAGGCCCACCGAGAACTAAGGATTGACATCAAGCTTCTTTTCCTAGTAGCTGAATGAGGATAATGGGTTCTATCGCCTACAATTTATACTTGTCGGGATTATGAGCTCAAAAACTAAGTTTTGATTGCATCGCAAATACGTCAACCTGTGATCCAGCAGACTTGCATGTATAGAGTCTGCCACGGTGTCCAGATTGCTCAAGATCGTCAGGGTTCTCTGGCTACAATAAAAAACGACTCCTGATTTTACTCAAGATCCTTCTTACAATGACTCGAAAGCAGCTGCCGTCTATGAGTCGAAGGGAGCCGATATGGGCCGTTTCCCATCCCACAAGCTGGAGTAGTCTCGAGCAAAAACCACTGCTTGCACCCCCAACTAGCAAGCATTTGGCCAAGGCTGGATTCCACGTGAGCGCTCGGGAGAGGAGGTGGTGCGGTGCATGTGGTAGGGTGAGGGAGATTAGGCTATGGTGTGTGTTTGTGTTTGGGCAGGTTTCGGATTTGTGGTAGTCGGGGCTTCGTTTAAGGTCTTATTATGCGAATGCTGAACAATCTCAAGCTCCACCTCAAGCTCCATTCTGGACCACTCAACCCTGGCAGGAGGAATGTCCGGTGCGGACATGGTCTCATGATCTAAACTTATCCTTCCTATGGCTAGAGAAGGCTTGTTCGTTGCCCGGGCCGCTCAGCAGGGTGAAGAGACTGAGCTTGTCTTTCTGAGGCCAAAGCCCCAGTCTTTCCTCAACGGGAACGCCAGTCTGCCTCGGTGTAATCGAGATTTTACAAAGCTCGTGGTCGTGTTCGTAGCAGGTATATTTGGGTTTTGCAGCTGCTTGCAGGTGGTTTTGCGGTTAGCCTAAGGGTGTTCTGCGTGACCGGTTGCACAAAATCCAAACCTGCCTCACACCCTTTAAGCCTGAAGCCCAACAGGCTTACACCTGCCCCCCAGAGCTGCTTCAAACACGTGTGTTCTGTTGGCAGTACCTCCACATGGGTAGTTCGAAGCAGAGTTGCAAGTATTCCCTAAACCAACCACACACACCCCATCCATCCTCTACAGCCGCAAAAAAAGCTGTAAGACCCGAAACAACCCCAGAGCAACCCTAGGAAGCTCTACCTAATCCCTAATTAGAATAGGGTTTTGGGACCCACTATACTACATTATAGTAAGGAGCCCCCAGAATGGTATGGTAATTATTCAGGCCCCTTCAAAAGCCCCGGATACCAAACCGTTTGGAGTGTGAAGAGGCGCCGGAGGGCCGGCAAACGGCTGGGGGCCCCGAGGACGCCGCGGGCGAGGAGCCTCCTGAGTTTGCCAGGCGTTGGCTTTGAGGTTGAGGGTTTAGGGTTTAAGGGTATAGGGTTTAGGGTTTGGGGTTTAGGGTTTAGGGTTTAAGGTGTAGGGTTTAGGGTTTAGGGTTTAGGGGAGGTTTCTCTAGAGGGCTTAGTTGCGATTTGGGTCTTCCAGCGGTTGTCATAAACTAGGTTTCCTGCTGGTCCCATCACGCCGTTCAACGGAAGGCCTTTGTTGTAATCTGTCAAGGTTGCCCAGAGCGTGCACTTACCGTGACTTGACGATTGAAACCTTAAACATGTAGACCGGAAAATTAAGGAGTTTTGCGTAATTTATGTCTCATCTTCCTACCTGTATAATGTACTGTGCTGCTGTTACTAAGCCCAGCTTTCTCACTGCACCCTTGTCGTGTTCGTTAAGTTGCTGGGCTCGAACATCCCCGTGTTGCAGTCCGCGGGTGAAGTTGCCAGTCGAAACCCCGAATAAGTGCAGCACCCTTAAACCCTATACCCTATAATGCTAGCCTTCGTTCCCCCACACCCAACCTTGACACCTTTTGGGTGCTTCTAGTTTAGTAGTAATCTGAAAGTTTAACCTTTTACTTCCCTGGCTTGTAGGGCCATAAACCCTTTAGGGTTTAGGGGTTTAGGCGGTTTAGGGTTCATAAGGGGTTAGGGGTTTAGGGTTTATGGGTTTATGGGTTTACGGGTTTATGGGTTTATGGGTTTAGGGTTGGAGCGATACGCTAAACGGGTACAAAGCCTCAGTCCCCAAACCCTAAATCTTCTCATCCGGAGACCCGGCTACCCGAAGCGCCTGAGTATCGCATGGAGACTAATCTGAGGGGGTACTGTTGCTGAGTAACCTTACCCCTCAACCCTAGAGCCCAAACCCCAAACCCTAAACCCCGAACCCTAAACCCCTAAACCCCTAAACCCCCAGAGACAGTTTTCCTGTGAGGAGCCCAGTCGAGTACCCATGGCCGCGTCCTGAGAGCATCTTCGTGCGAGTCGGGCCTCGCCCTGCTAAAGACTGCCACTCCTACTTAAAGGATCATGGGACTTAATAAGTAGGGATATAATTATTAACTATACTTATAACCCCAATTAGGGGACTTATAACCTTACTTACCAAGTCCCATGGTCCTCCAAGTAGGGAGTGCTAGGGAGACCCCTTAACGGCTTAGTAGCTGAGTGACCCAAAGGGTGCAAGTACCATTATAGTAGGTACTTAGTAGGTAGTTGAGCCCCAAGAGTATATACTACACTAGTACTTGGACCCTTTGGATGAGTAACCTTTAACCTTTTGGGGTTTTTATAATCCTACCATGTTTGAAAAGGTTAACCTTTTCTGGGCTAGGGTACTCAGCCCCTAAGAAGGGGACCCCTTCTTGACCCTACTTGTGGCTCTCTTAAAGGGGGCCTTATTGAGAGGGTCTATATCCCCAAGGGTCCCCCTGATCCTAATTCCCAGCCATGGTCTGCAAGCACGCATTGTGGGGGCCTTTGTACACACTACCAGACGAGCTCGGACACGATCTTCGTGTTGGCCTTCTCCATCATCATGCTGAACACGGATTTGCGGGGGCCCCCGGCTTGCTAGAGGGTTTAGAGTTATTGGCTAGGGCCAATGGGGCCTGGATAATTATCTCAGAGTTTTTGGGATTAGTTTGGTTTACAGTAGAAGCCCAAACGTTGGAAACCCAATAGCCTCAATCCTGAAGACTAACGTATCGGGGATTACAGCACGATATGTCCTTTATCCGGTTTTCGACGTTTTGGGCTTTACTGTAGGAGCATAGCAGCTTCGGAGTGGGAGATGAATGCAACTAAACCCTAAACCCTAAAAGGGATGGAGGCTCCAGGGTCCAACCCGACATCTTCAAGCCTTGTTGAAGCAGTCTATCGCCTGCTGTGCGCTCCTGAGAGCCCCCCCCCCAAGCCCGAAACCGTAAGCCCTAATTCCCCCCAAACCCGAAACCCTAAACC